AAAAGTGTGGTAGTCTAAAGCATTATGCCACTTGCCCGAATCCTACAACCCCTCACCGGTATCACCAGTTCCGAGAGCATGGGCGTAGAGGCGCTAGTTCTTATTGCTTTTCTAGCATAAAACTCCAAATATGATTCTTTGATTTAGAAAATTCTATATATATGTTTCCACTGGGTCAATGTATATAAATGATAATTTCTCACTTTTATAAAAATAACACCACTTATAAAAATATTTGAATCAATAATATTTTTTAAACTTTATATATTAAATATTTTTAATAAAATAAATATTTATTAAATTCAAAATTAAATTATTCTATTTTATTCTAACGACAGTCAAACATTAGATAATAACCTAAACAAACTTATTTAATATATTTATTAACATATTTTAAAAAAGGGAAATAAATTTTCATTTCCAATATTTGAGTCAATAATTTCATTTTTCCCGTGTCATAAAGTGCATTTGTAATAAAATATTTATCAAATATATATATATAATACAAATTGTATTTGTGATAAAATATTTGTCAAATATATATGATACATAAATTATTGAATCAAACTATATATTTATTGTATTTGAATCAATCATACATTTTTTCCGTATATTTTTCCTGTATAATAGTATAAACATATTTATTTGAAAAAATTACAATACTAATTGTATTTGAATCAATAATTTACTTTTCTCATGATTTCTTCTTGAGGAAGAAAATGTTGAGAGTATAATCCAAGTTGTGTAGCTAAAGCCCAAGTTAATTAGGGTTTAGAATTTGTTACTTAGTATACAAGTTAGTTACAGATAAATAAACATGTTGTAAATCAGTTTTATAATTCAATAATATCAATCCTTATTTCTTTATTCTCTCTCTCTCTCTCTCTCTCTCAATAAAAATGCATCACGTACTAACAAATTGTGTTTTAAAAAATCACATGTTAGTGATTGTCTTTCCGAGATGAATGATACTAATGGCATTCTGAATTCTCTTCCAATTCAGAACATCGTTAATCAACTATTGCAAAGATGAATGATACTAATGGCATTCTGAATTCTCTTCCAATTCTTGACAGCAAAAATTAGAACCGATGGAGCAAGCAGATGAAGTCCTTATTTGTTTTCCATGAAACCCTAAAAGTAGTCGAAAACAACATTCATGAGCTTGCCCAGGATGCAACCGACATGCAAAAAATCTACACAAAGAGGCGAAGAAGAAATATTGCAAGGTTGTGTATTGCATTAAATTGGCGGTAGATTCAACAAATTTTGACAAGATATCTCATGATTAATCGACAAAGGAGGAAAGAGATATTCTTGTCACGTACTATGAAGGAGTTGAGAAAATAAAAGTCGTCAAATTGCAAACTTTGCGACGAAAGTATGAATTACTGTAGATGGGAGAAGATGAAAAGATTACAGGCTATGTCGAAGATGCTTAATCTTGTCCATCTCATGAAGGGTTATGGTGAAATCCTAACGGATAAGATGATATTTAAGAAGGTAATGCGTATGTTGACCTCTCACTTTGGTAACATTATTGTAGCTATTCGAGAATCTAACTGAAATTTTGGCACACAAATACCAGATGTTGAATCAGATGTCACAACACTGCTATCAGATTAATCACAACAACTAAAACAATTATACAAGTAAAATAAGTTGCAGAAAGTAAAGAACATAAATCAATTGTTAAATCAGTTCGGTGCAACATCACCTACTCTGGAGGCATCCAAGTCGGGAAGGAAATACACTAAAATAGTATTAGTTTGAAGTTTTGAACAATCCTTGTCTTACAAACTTCTCACCTAATCACTACTCATGCTATTTATATCTAAGACCCTCCTAGATATGAGATGCCTCTCACTTCCCTTTAATCACAAACCAGTGACAAACTAACAATGATAACTAAAGTAGAAGAACACTTCTTCAAAGAAAAACAATCAACTCTGTTTAAAAGCTTTTGGCTAAAGAACAAAGGTAACTTGACCTACAATCCACTCTTGCTTAAAAGCTTATGAGTGATTGACAAATAACAACTAAAACCCAGTTCAACTCTAATATCAAAGTGATAAGAAGTGGATCATAATGAACAAAGAACAAACTAAAACCCTAAACCCTTATCTCATGCACACAACTTCTCCAAGTGTTTTCGGTATAGAAATTTCTTATAAAAAGACTCTTGAAAGCATGAGCTTGGACTCCATGCAAATCCAATATTCAAGCTGTAAATCTTCTCCACAAAAATAGGAACAAAAATATAAAATTTCCTAAAAAGTTTCCAAGATGATTTTTATGAAACAAAATAAATTATATTATAGAATCAATGTTCCTAAAATATCCTCGGTCTGCGACTATATGGAAATTAGAACCATTCAGAGTCTCATATTTTAAAAATAAATCTTCAATAGAATGAGGATATTGGAGCCTCCTTTCATTGATTGTCAAAAGTTTCTCTTCTAGGACTTTAAGAGAACCAAGAAGACAAGAACACCTTAATTTCATCTCAATGCATAAATGTATATGTTTAGAGAAATATAAGTTAATTAGATCAAAAGATAAAATGGTAGATTTTGGGGTGCAACAATAATTAGCAAATGTGTTAGCTATTGTGTTATTGTTAAATTGTAAAGAGAATAAGTAAATATGGTATATATACCTATAATATTGGATCAAACCAACATGGTGCGAAATAATTAATTAAAGAAGTCTAACCTCATCATATAAATTGCATTTGGATTCTTGAAAAGTTGTAGGTTTATCTTGAACCTAAATTTTTAATGTTTCACCAATATAAAGTGAATATTTTGAGAAGATGAAACATTAATCATATGAAATAGTGTGAAGTGTTGGTCTTGAAAACAATAATAATATTATAATGTTGTACAACAAAAGTGTCGTCTAAAAAAATGTGGATTTTAGGTAAAAGTAGAGGGCAACACAAAAAAAAAAAGTTTGCACAAAATTCTAAATAGTGATAAAGTATAATATATTGACATATGAAAGGTTATAATGGTTAACAATTGTATTTTACACAGATACAAAACTATTATATTATAAGTTTTGTATAATATAGTATGTAGCAGACAAAGTTGCGTTTCTGCAGGCAGAGTTGCAACAAAGCAGAAAGGACAAAACAATGACCATATTTATTCCAACACGTGATAGAGAATAGCCTATAGTGTGTTTGTATTGAGATAAGTTTGAGAAGTGATGTACAAATGCAGTAACGCCAAGGAGATTGTATAAAGTTAAAACTTTGAGTTAGTTTGTCGCACTTTAGCTAAATGTAGCAGTAAAAATTTGAGATTAAACTATTGATTGACTTAACTCATATTAATGAAAGTCATCAATGCACTTTATTATTTCCAAAGGAAAAATGGAAAAAGAGTGAATAAAATTCAAAATGAAATAAAAGATCAGAGAACAAGATACAAAAGTTGTTTATGCAAAGGGAATATTTTAGCATCTTAAGTATTTACGGTACTCCACAGAATCCACTTTGTTTGTTTTAATCAGAGAGTGTGCTAAAACTCGAACTTGTAAAGGAAAATGAATGAAAGAGTATTTACAAACAAAATAAATGTTTTTTTATTATTGCGTCAATCGCAGTTGCGAACCTTTGTGTCTATGTACCCCTTCGTGTAATAAGGGATCATGACACTCGTAATTCATCTTGAAAAGAATTCGTGTAATAAGGGATCATGACACTCGTAATTCATCTTGAAAAGAACAAAATTTGATGTGCTGATTGATTTTAAAAGAAGAGACAAGACATCATTTTTAAGGAGAAAACTCGTCTAATCGCTCACAAGGTATAAGAAAGAAAGACTAGGCACCAACATGAACGAGAGTTTGAGAACGCTTCTAGTGCTCAAGTGGAAAAGTCGACAACCATGAGAATTGAGGAATAACATCTCGATTATAAGTGAATCATATCTAATATAGAAAAACGATATTAAAGAGAAAAGATGCTCGAACACACAAAAAAGTTTGAATGAAGTTAAATGTTTTTTAATCTTTTTGAAAGAATTTGGTGATTTGAACCACATAAAGATTATGACATGAGATACTTTGAATGGTGAGTTAAACGCCTCATATCTAAAATACTCCACACGTATTTAAGGCTCGTGAAACATGGTCCACATTATTATTATTATTATTATTATTATTATTATTAATTAAGCGTTTTATGTTTGGGTTTTTGAGAAACAAACACCAGGATCATCATGCTTATGCCTATATTTTGAATGCATTGAATAACACTTTATTTCTCTTGTTTTTACTGGGTGTGTTTGATGCATTGAATAACAACACTTTATCCCTCTTTACTTTTACCACATGTGTCACATGTAACCAAGTGCATTGAAAAACACTTTACCACCTCTTGTTTTTAATACAGCACATACAACACCACAATCTTCTAAAGATTATACAATACATAGTCATTTGAAACTCCTCATACCTCCATTGACATGGACAATTAGATTAAAAGTTCGAAATTTGGAAATAGGTTTTTTTTAATCAGTGCTTGATAAATATGAATTTTCTAGATAAACCAAGCAAAGTGTTTTAATATCTCATCTTGTGTAAAGAGAATGTTCAAAAAAGTACAAACAAACCTCTTAACCAAAGATTCAAAGTGGGATATATTTGAACAGTAAAAAATAAATTTGTAAATATTACTTTTAGGGTCTCATTACATCAAACAACAATAAGTGTCATCAGATAGCACAAGAGATTATAAAATCTAAACAAACAAATGAAGGCAGAAAATAGTAAATTCAGTATCATTCACATAACATTCAAACATAAACATCAAAAGCATCATTTAAACCCGCAGCATTTAAGTCCCTAAAGCAAATGTTCAAATTGCAAACAGAATGCAGTGTGTCAAATGTAAGACCACTCTAAATGCTTAACTAGTGGGCACAATCTATACAAACAAAAAAGTAACATAGTTGCAATAGTTTTTGACAGTGGCATGCTGTCACAAATGATCAATAGTAATAATAGTCTTCTTGAACTTGGCCAACTGCAAAAATATAAGATCCATTAAAATTTATGGTCCTTCCAAATACAATTGTGAAAGTAAATGATTCTATTCATTAGTTTTCATTTTTTCAGTTTCAAATCAGCTTAGGATTCAATTTATTGGTAATTCATTTTTCTTAAAAAGCCAAAAGATAAGAAACCAAAATAATTAAGAACTCAGAAAAGATTTGAAGTCTAACCTTCAAGATTTTTGCCCCAACTTGCTTGAGCATCAACTTCTCTGTTAGAACCCTTAAAACATTTAAAAAAAAAAGAGGAAAGGCATTTGTTAAAATTACCATACAATAAGGGAAAATATATAGGACTAATGACAGTGGTGCCATAGATCAAAACCCACCCAATTAAAAAAGATGGCAATTTGAGAAACATTATTTCATTGTGTCAATAAACAAAATAGAGTCACTATACCCTCGAGTCTAACCTTAGGAACATGTTGAACACTGCCTGACTTGAAGTTATCCTTCAAGTCCAAAGCCTCATTACGCAAGTCCCTTAAATTCAGGTTATTGACTTTTCAATTACCTGCAAATTATTGCAAAAGCAATAAAATATTATGGTAAATTCCTTATAAAAAGGAAGATATTTCGTGAACAATTGGAAAATGCATATACGGTAGAGAACTAAACTAACCTGCTCGCAGACAAGCTTGGAATCGCCTCAGATTTCAACATGATCATACCCTTTGTTACTTGCTTCTTTCAATCCCAAAATCAAACCTTGATACTCAGTAGAATTACTTGTCTAGTGCCCTGTCCTTGACTAAAGCGATGGAACTTTAAAGAAACCCAAGAGTTAGCTACATTTGATACATAGTTTATAGTATATAGTTACAAATATGTATTGATACATAAAGTATACACTCATTCCCAGTTTCACCAGATTTTCCAGGATTTCCACTGGATGCACGGTCAAACTCGAGGGTATAGTGACACTGCAAGATAAAGCAGAATTATGATACTAAACATTTACAATTACACAGTCATTTGTGTCTGAGCGTGTGTGCTACAAAGCATTGTGTATAAACAAATAAAGTAATAAGCAAATTGACATCTTAATTCAAAAGATCAAAACCGAGCTTAAATTAAAAATTCACAAGAGCAAATAAATTAATTAGGTTAACATATTTCAATTAAATTATTTGTTATCATGGAAATTTGTGTAATTATATTTACAATATTAAAAGAGCGTCTAATTTTCAATATAAAATTTTTACCAGAAAAAGTACTAAATTATATTTTAAATGAAAAATAGAAACAATTTTTGCAATCACATTGAGTCTCGCAAAGGTTTGGCGATTTCGTTTCGTGATATTAATTACAACTGTTGCATTATGAATTAACCGCAATATATGCAAACTATGCACAACTATAGCTCAATAAGATTCAAACTATATTTCAAAACATAAAACATTCCAGAACAAAACTCAAGTCTTCTTAACTTTCAACGAGTATGGAATATCTGCAATTTAGACAGATATACTGATCAAAACCAACCACTTTTTTGATTTGTAAATGTAGTAGATCATGTGGCGGTGGCAGCGTTTGAAAAATCAGTCATAATTTTGTAATATAATAACACCTAAATTTTCAAATATATCCCAATTTTATTTGCTTTTCAATCTCCAAACAATCACAATTTTAGTCCTAAAGTAAGAAGTAAGAAAAGTAAAGGTTGAAAAGCAAATAAAATTGGAAAATGCTTGCCAAAATCTACATGAATGTTTTACCTTTATCAATGTCATAAATCGTAATGCATTTAAGATTTTTAATATATTTGAAAATTTAGATGTTATTATATTACAAAACTATGACTGACTTTTCAAACGCTGTCACTGCCACATGATGATGTACTACCATTAGAAATAAAAAAGGTGGTTGGTTTTCATGGAGTAAAGTTTGGGGGTGAATATAATTTATGTTAGAAGTCCATATGACTTTAGAATATAATTTATGTTAGAAGTCTGTTTAGACCAAAATAAATGAGTTGGTTAATTTTGTAGGTTTGTATATTGAATAGTATATTTAGATTTATAGATTGACTAGGATATTGACTAGTATTATCTTTACAACTAAATATCGTCAATTTTTCCATAACTAATATTTACCTATAGTAATTATCATTTAGGAAACAAAACGCTTAAATCCAATCCACAGTTTTCATAACAGAATCACACAATTTGTACTAAAAAACTGCATCAGACACTTACAAACATTTAGGCAAAAATTAATCGCTACAATCAATAACTGTATTACCAGAGTATATATGTGGGAAGACGTATAAAATCTCATCTGGAAACTGCACAAGTCGACGGAAAAATGTAAAATCAGGAAGAAACAAGAAACAAACCAAGACGCATAAAAACGTAACTGAAGAGTGCACATGTCGCCGGAGAAAAATGTAAAATCGGAAAGAAAGAAAATCAAAAACAAATGTTGACGATGCAACAGTCACCGGAAGGCGCATCGAACAGTGACTGGAAGATGCATCGAACAGTCATCGGAAGGCGCATCGAACAGTGACTGGAAGATGCATCGTACAGTCTCCGGAAGGCGCATCGAACAAGTCGTCGGAAAATGCAGAATTGCATACAGAAAGAAAGAGAATCTCGTAAACATGCATTCAGTAATGAAACGATTTGTAAATGAAATGGGTCTGGTTTCCACGACTCATGCTTTCTTCCTTTTCGCTTTATTTTCAACTATACAATGCTTGCACTGATACTACTGCTATTTATAGACGAAATTTTGGTAATAAAAGATATATTTTATTTTCCTTTTTAATAGCAAAATGAAAATAACTGAACAAAATTGTGAAAGGTTAGTCAAGAAGTACGGTAAATGGTGGGAGAAGATTTTTATTAGAGTAAAAACGGTTACAGAATATCTACAACTCATCATAAAAATCTTACCATCATTATCATACTATCTACTCCGTCAAAAAAAATGATCATACTTATTTACTCTGTCAAAAAAAATGATCATGCTTATTTATAATCATATAATATAATTAATAACTAATCATTAATAATAATTAATTAACTTTTTTTTAATTAGTAATAAGTAATCTCACTAACTCTAATATCTCCATACAAAAAATTATTTCTTCTCATTATTATGTTATTATAATTGATAAAAAAAATAGTCACAATTATCTATAATATAACAAAATTCATTTATCTCATTCCGTCAATGTTGTCTTTTTGTTCCAAAAACACCCACGTGGATATTTTCTTTGATCTATATTTCAGATTTTCGTATTCTTCTAAACACTCCCACGATACAGTTTCATTCCATGTCTCTCCAACAACCCATATTCATTGTCAATTTTGTAACTGTTATCCATAACCCATCATGACTATCATTCTGTAAATTAAATAATTGTTGATTTAAAATAATCAACCGATTATAGTTTAAAATTATTATGTAAATTAAATAATTATTAATTTAAAATAGTCAATCGATTATAGTTTTCTAAGTGGTTCAGTATTCTAAGTGGCACTAATCATGGTGGAATTATAGTTTTACTGCATCTTATATGTTAATTAATTATGATTATGGTAAAATATAATATTAATATTATCTTGATTTATATATAATAATATTTTCAAAGCATCATATTGTTTGTGCTTCTTTCTAAATAATTTGACTTATAATATTGTGTCATGGACAATATTGTTAGTCATTTTTATAATCAATCTCTATTATTTGAGAGATCCAAGACAAAGAGAGAGGAAGTTGGCATATCTGTAAAAGAATATCACCGCTAAATAATAAATTAATTTTGGTTTTTTTATTATATTTTAAAAACAAAAGCGTGTGTAACACACAAGTACCTTTGTAAACTCACAGGTAATACACCAGAATCCGCGCGGACGTACGAGTAACATATTAGTAACGTGTGAACGTACGGGTGACACATTAGTAACGTGTGAGCGCATAGGTAGTAAGGTCAAAATCTGTGTGAATGCACGAGTTACACACAACGCACGGGTAACCAGGCCAAAATTGGTTTGAACGCACAGGTTATTACATTTTTTATACAATTACAGAAAATAAAAGTAAATATATTTAAAATAATTTATGAACAGAAACACGAAAAAAATATATTATTTTTTTAATTATTTGTGTATCTAATATTTTATTTTAAAATTATTTTTAATTTAAAATACAATAGATAATATATGAATAATTAAATTATTTATTATTAATGTCTTTCTTTTAAAAAAATAAACTATTTTGGTAAAATTATTTTATTTTTCTTATTTACAATTTTATATATATATATATATATATATATATATATATATATATATATATATATATATATATATATATATATATATATATATATATATATATATATATATATATATATATATATATATATATATATATTAAAAATAATAATTATTTTGATTAGGAAATTTTGCATTTATTATTTATTATTCTATTATATTATGAAAACAAAATCGTGCGTATCATTCCAGTAAAATAATTTTGGTAAAATTAATTTATTTTTAATTTAAAAATATCTCTTTCTTTTAAAAATATGATCAAAATATTTAATGTTAACGGAAACATGAAGTTACTGATAAAAAATATTCACAAGAACATAAAGTTGATAATCAAAATAGTGAATATTAACGGGAACGTGAATTTAATTATCAAAGTATTAAATATTAACAGGAACATCAAGCTACTGATCAAAATATTGAATATTAATAAAAACATAAAGTTACTTCAATATATTAAATATAAACGGGAACATTAAGTTATTGATCAAACTATTGAATATTAACAGAAACATGAAATTACTGATTAAAATATTGAATAATAAAGGGAATATTTAATTACTCATCAAAATATTAAATATTAACGGGAACATGAAGTTACTGATAAAAATATTGAATAATAACATAAACATGAATTTATTAATTAAAATATTGAATATTAACGAGAACATGACGTTATTGATCAAAATATTGAATATTAACGGGAACATGAAGTTATTGATCAAAATATTGAATAATAACGGAAACGTGAATTTACTCATTGAAATATTGAATATTAACGGGAACATGACATTATTTATCAAACTATTGAATATTAACGGTAACATGAAGTTAGTAATCAAAATATTGAATATTAACGTGAACATGAAGTTACTGATCATAATATTGAATATTAAAAAAAACATAAAGTTACTTATCAAAATATTGAATATTAACGAAAACATAAAGTTACTTATCAAAATATTGAATATTATCGGGAACATAGACTTATTGATCAAACTATTGAATATTAACGGAAACATGAAATTACTTATCAAAATATTGTATAATAACGAAAACATGAAGTTATTGATCAAACTATTGAATATTAACGGAAACATAAAGTTACTGATCAAAATATTGAATAATAACATAACAACTTTATTATTGGTTTAAATATTTTGGACAATAATTCCAAAACAAAAATAATATTTATATATAAATAACATATATGTTATCGATTCAAATATTTTTATATATTAAAAGAATTATAGACACTGATTTATTATCTCTTTTAAAAAAATTAATTTTACTTTTATTATATTTTGGAAAGAAATGCGCACACCATATCAGTACCCGTGCGAACGCACATATATCTCACTAAAGAGAAAAGTTCGTCTGCACCAGAAAATCTAGAGACTTGCTGAGAAACTAATATTAATGAAAAGGTGTCTAACATATTAAATATATAAGTATTTAATTTGCAAATTAAATATATCTTACCAAAATATTTTGATTAAAAATTATATGTGTTTGCACTTTATACTCAAGTGAAACAGTACAAATGATATAAATAAGAATGATATATTTTTGTTACTATTTAAATTTTACATTATTTATTTAATTAAAACTATTCCATTTTATTGATTTATACTCATTGCACAAACTAACAATGCAAAATAGAATTTTAGAAATTAAATTATTCTTTTATTTAAATTATTTTTTATTATAGATAATATCATAAAATTTGATTATTTTTTCTTTCTAAATGAACTCTGCTTAGTTCAATGAGAGTGTCAGACCGGTACCCATACAAATGCACGGGTATCATACTAGTTATCTATAATATAAGAAAATCCATTCTACCAATTCTGCCAAGTTTGTCCTTTTGTTTCAAAAGCACTCCACGTGGATACCTTCTTTGGTCTTTATTTCAGATTTTCATATTCTCCTAAACACTCCTATGATGCAGTTCTATTCCCTGCCTCTCCAACAACCACTATTCATTGCCAATTTTGTAACTGCTATCCATAACCCATCATGGCTACCATTCTGTAACCGTCCCAAAACACCATCATGGATACCATTGTTTATAACCTTCCATGTTCTAAATTTCTGTTACAACGTCACCTTCCTCTAACCCTACCGTTTTCGCATCCCGTCCCTCCTATCGTCGCCGACCTTCGTTTCTCCATCTTTGACTGATTCGGTAAGAATGATCACTGTTTCTCCTTCTCCGACCCTTTTACATTCCTATTAACATAATAAAATTGTATATTGGTCTTTTCACTATTTTTTTCATCTACACAGAGGTTGCCTCAAATCCGATAAAGGGTCTTGGAATAACACATAAATTATGAAGATTAGTCTATGTGTTGTAGTACTTAGTTGCCCCTTCTGATTGATCATCTGGTGTTATACTAAATCTCATATCTCTTTTTGATTTGATCTATTTTACAGATTTATTGAATAAACTGTTGAATGGTAGAAACCTGATGGGTAAATATTTCTCTTAATTTGTTAATTTTAACATCAAATAATGGTTGTATGTTTGCTAATTTTTTTTATCTTGTAAAATCTTGTAGGAATAAATATAAATCGAAAGAACCAACTGTAAAAAATAAGGGGTAAGTTTGGAAAGAAACATAAATGGTTGTTGTTTTTGATATTTCTTATGGTTTATGTGATGTTTTCATTTCAATCTGGTTTTTGAGATTTATGGCTTTTGAAATAAAGTTATTAGATTTATGGTTTATTAGGGTTTCATTTAAATCTCATAAGTTAGTTATGTGTTTGTATACATGGTTTCAGTTTTGGGTTTTACTCTTCTGAGTTCCAAGTGATACACCTTGTGTTTGAAACAATTGGGTTCTGCAGCGTGAATGCGAGTAAAGATGCCATTCAGTTTTCACCTTTCAACGTACATAATTTGTTGACTTGGTTTTATCATTTGAATCTATGGCAGTTTATTTGAACCTTGTAGAAATTATGGCTTCATGGTTTTTCAAGCGACATACACGAAATACACTGAAAAGCATCTTTGGTTCTTGAAGATGCAGTTAGAAATATTTACACTGTTGTTGCATTTTGTGCTGGTAATAAGGTAATGGAGCTCTTATAAATTCCTTTACATTTGCTGCTGATGTTGCCAAGTCATATACATGCTGCCAATTTTCCCTTTTACATTAGATCAGTTTTCTGTAAGTAGCCCGCTTCTCTATTGCTTTCATGTTAAAATCACATTAGATCAATTTCCCCCTTTTCAAGATAACTTACAGCTTATTATGTGAAAACAATTTAATTGTATTTTATCATTTGTTATAGAAATAAAATAACTTGTTCATTAACACTTAATTACGATAAGTGTTTATAATATAAGCATTCCAATAAGCCTTTTATCCAAACAGTGCCTAGAAAGATTCGACATAATAAGTAGTAATTAAGAAGAAAATAATACAAAAGAAGACCATGCAAAAGGGATATATACCGAAATACAATAATGATTCATGGTACTTACTACTATTAGTTAGAAAAAATAATTTATCTTAGTTCTTTAATGCAAAAAATTTAAAAGAAATTAGTTAGAGGAAAAATGTGAATAAAAGTATAATAAAAAAATAAAAATCTTAATCAGCGCAACTCAATATTCCTTTGTCTGTTCCTGTATAATCCTGATGAATAATAACTATAACTTGGTTATGTTACAGGTATATTTGCAAACGACAAATGAACTATTTGAGTCTATTTTTTGGAGATCCAAAAAAATGACAGTTTTTGATGCGGAATGTTGTATCGAGGGTATTGTCAAGGTCAATATCAGTAGCAGAATCCACACCTTTTGTAGCTATGTTGCCATTCTTTCCGGATATAATGACATTGTTTGGAGGATGATCTTCCATTTTAGTTTTGATAGAAGGAATAGAATCAATGAGACTAACTATTTGTGAGGGATATTAGATGATTTTCAGAGATTTCAAATCTTCAAATATTCTTCTGGATGAGTAGTGGAATGCAAAGCTTCCGGGCTTTAGATTAGTAAGATTGGGTTTTGTAAACCATAATGCCAAAATCTTGAAGATCATAATTGACTCTACTAAACCAAGTTCTAGGACTTCTCTTGATAGTTTCCTGAAATTGGACATATTTATAATGGTTGGTTGTTTTCTGTGCATGTTTTAGGTATTAGTAATAGCACTTTTGTACACAGTATATCCTACTGTCCTCCATTCTTGCTTTTAAAATTGGACATTCCTAGGACACTTGAATATCTGGTATGAAATTACTTATGTGATAATATTACTGAAGTAATTCTCCATGCTTTATGGATCAAGCTTATATTCCTGTTTTTATCTTGAATAAGAAACACAAGTAGTTTGTGTAGCTGCTTACAAGACCAACGAGTTTTTTTTGCCTTTTTCACAGCATCAAGCGGCTGCACATTTTAAATTTGGCATGTGCAATTGGAATGTAAGCAGTATGACTACATGATGTACTAAGAAACAAGTTTAACTAACAATTTTTGTTTGATCATGGCATTAATTTCCAGGTTCCATGCTGGGTGGATACCCCTGAAGAATGTGCTTCCTTAATAGGCAAGCAAAACATTGTTATTCATTTTCGTTTTCAATGTAAATTTATGTTAATTCTTATAACTTTTATTCTTAGCAGAAGCAAACATCAAACTAAAGCTTGGATCTGGAACTTTGATAGGAGTTCTTATTCCTCAAGATAACTCAACATCTGGACATATAATTTAATCCGCCGATGATTTGCCTAACCGTGGCAGCGAATGAGTAAGAGGAAGGTGAGTGGATATCTACAACGAGGCTCTTCGTCGCTATTGGATGTTACAGTGATGTCTGAAGAGGAGAAGAGAAATGGACACATTACAATCCAAGGGATTTCAGCTGGGTTGTCGCGGCTTCATGCGGTTCATCAATGTATCGATGAGCTAATTTATAATGTTAATGATTGGTGTGCTGTAATTTTATTGCGGAGCTGATTTTGATTTCAGTGTTAGGTTTTTTTTCAATTTTGTTGCTCATTTTGAAAATTGACGTTGATTTAGATTTAGAAGGGATATGAAGAATATGGATATTTTGTTTTGTGATATAATTTGGTTTTGTATGTATCATTGATTTTGTTTTGGTTCATATTGAACGAAAGTTTGCTAGATAGAAGATGGAACCAGGTACATTGATGTGATCATATCATATGAGTTAATGTGTTTGTTTGATATGTGTTATGAAACACTTAGACAAATAAGAATGCCAGACATGTCACTAGAGCATATAATTGAATCTGCCATCAAGCATACATCAAATTGGATTGCATTTTTGTTACATCTTACATTGTTCATTCTATATAATCATGCTTTCCGCTATGGATGTCTTTTTTATCCGACGTCTCTCACCAGCTAATATCTCTAAACGATTTCAGTAGTAATAAAATACTGATTCACATTATATCTGATGCAGCTAATATTTCAAGATTTTAAAACATTCAACATCTTACTGGATGAGGATTTCAATACAAAGCTTTCAGATTCCGGACTTGCTCGGCAAAGACACTTCTCATGTATCATATTTAATGTATATATTAAATACAAACACATTAATTGTTTTTATGACTATTTTATTTGAAATTTTAGATATGTTAAAAGTAAGATTGTAATATGTACACACTCTCTTCGTTAATGTACACATTGTGTTAGAACAATTTTAATTATCATTTTTAATGTATCAATTTTATTTCTGATTTATTTATTGTCATGGTATAAAATATAGTTGGGTTTTTAAATCTATCTCAAAACAATGTGTGAGGTTGAACAACAAATAAGGTGTTTCTATTTTTTTAAGCATGATTCTCGATTGTTACTGGTATAGTTGGTGATGTGGTGTGGCTTTTATTTAGAATGATAGTATAGACTCTTTCTAACTTTCTAATGGTATAGATGGTGATGTGGTGTGTATTCAAAATATTAATAAGATTATTATGTAAATTAAATAATGTTAATTTAAAATAGTCAACCGATTATAGTTTAAAATTTTATGTAAATTAAATAATTGTTAATTTAAAATAGTCAACCGATTATAATTTTCTAAGTGGTTCAGTATTCTAAGTGGCACTAATCATGGTGGAATTATAGTTTTACTGATTCCTATATATTAATTAATTATGATTATGGTAAAATATAATATTAATATTGTCTTGATTTCTATATAATAATATTTTCAAAGCATCATATTGTTTATGCTACTTTCTAAATAATTTGACTTATAATATTGTGTCATGGATAGTATTGTTAGTCATTTTTATAATTATTCTCTATTATTTGAGAGATCCAAGACAAAGAGAGAGGATAGTTGGCATATTTGTAGAAGAATATCATCGCTTAATAATAAATTAATTTTGGTTAAATAATTTTGGTTTTTTTATTAAATTTTTATTACATTTTGAAAACAAAAGCGTGTTTAACACACAAGTACCTTTGCAAACTCACAGATAACACACCAGAACTCGTGTGGACGTACGGGTAACACATTAGTAACGTGTGAACATACGGGTAACACATCAGTACCGTGTGAATGTACTATGAGTTGCACACAAATATAGTGTGAACGCACGGATAACCAGGCTAAAATCGGTGTGAACGCACGGATTGTTACATTTTTTATACAATTACAGAAAATAAAAGTAAATATATTTAAAATAATTTATGAACCCAAACACGAAAAAATGAATTATTTTTTTAATGATTTATGTATCTAATATTTTATCTTAAAATTATTTTTAGTTTAAAATACAATAGATACTATATGAATAATTAAAATATTTATTATTAATTTCTTTCTTTTAAAAAAGTAAACTATTTTGGTAAAATTATTTTATTTTTCTTATTTATATATATATATATATATATATATATATATATATATATATATATATATATATATATATATATATATATATATATATATATATATATATATATATATATATATATATATATATATATATATATATATATATATATATATATATATATATATATATATATATATATTAAAAATAATAAATTATTTTGATTAGACAATTTTGTCTTTTTTTATTTATTATTCTATTATATTTTGAAAACAAAAGCGTGCGTATCATACCAGTAAAACAATTTTGGTATAATTAATTTATTTTTAATTTAACAATATCTCTTTCTTTTAATAATACGATCAAAATATTGAATGTTAACGGAAACATGAAGTTACTGATAAAAAATTAAATATTCACAAGAACGTAAAGTTGCTAATCAAAATAGTGAATATTAACGGGAACGTGAATTTAATTAGCAAACTATTAAATATTAACAGGAACATCAAGCTACTGATCAAAATATTGAATATTAACGAAAACATAAAATTACCTATCAATATATTAAATATTAACGGGAACATGAAGTTATTGATCAAACTATTGAATATTAACGGAAACATGAAATTACTGATTAAAATATTGAATAATAAAGAGAATATTAAATTACTCATCAAAATATTAAATATTAACGGGAATATGAAGTTACTGATAAAAATATTGAATAATAACATAAACATGAATTTGCTAATTAAAATATTGAATATTAACGAGAACATGACGTTATTGATCAAAATATTGAATATTAACTGGAACATGAAGTTAGTGATCAAAATATTGAATAATAATGGAAACGTGAATTTACTGATTAAAATATTGAATATTAACGAGAACAAGATGTTATTTATCAAACTTTTGAATATTAATGGTAACATGAAGTTAGTAATCAAAATATTGAATATTAACGTGAACATGAAGTTAGTGGTCATAATATTGAATATTAACGAAAACATAAAGTTACTTATCAAAATATTGAATATTACCGGGAACTGTAACGCAGTGGGAGAACTGACTTGGTTGTTTTGCGTTTGATCGCAAATGTTGCGGTTTAACAAGAGTCGCCACCGACTTTTCTTTTATCCAAAAGGAAAAGCTGAAAAGAACAAGAAAGACCTTTGAGATGTTTTCTTGAGTTCGGGGGGTAGATTATGAAAAGCAAAGGTGTTAGCACCCTTTCCATCCATGGTTTTCCATGGACTCTTAGTTGCTTGCTAGATCACTTGCTTTTGTTTGAAAATGTGCTTTGTGTGGTTTTTGAAAGTATTTTGAAAAGGCGTCATCGTTTAGGCAAACTTTGTAATGATTCTCGTTCGTAAGAATGTATACAAAGTATTGATCCTTTGAAAATATTTTCAAGTTTGAAAGATGTTTTTGAAAATATTGGTATTTATTTTGAAAATAGCAAGGATGTTTTGGTTTAAAATTGAGCAAGCAACTAGGAACATTCTACCTACTCAAAAGTCTTTCATGTTTCTTGACATTGTTATCTTACCATTGATTTGGTAAGTAACCCTATCTTTGGATGTAAAAGGGACGGGCAAGGGTCATCGTATAGCCATGATTAGCAATGTCGTAAGATATCTTAGCATTTTCTTTAAGGGACTAAAATCATTTTTAAAAGGCAACTTTGATAGCGTCATCGAGGGACTATGATCTTGTATTTTGTTTGTTTTTGCTAAGATACCTCACATGTATAATATGGCTATCTTATAAGGCAACAAAGTGGATTTACCCTAAGGGTGTAAGTGTGCAAGTGTATTGGTTTACATGCTTGATTTATCTTGATTAGGATTTGCTATTTGTTGATTTTAATCTTTCCATACAAGTCCTAATTTACTAGCATTTGTATATAAAGCATTTAAATTACGTAAAATAAAAATACTAAGCTATTACATCATTTAGGGGAGAGGATATACAAATTACAAATGGGGAATTGCAAGAAAATTAAATCTAAATAATTATTACAACCATATTGAATATTGTATAAAAAATGAGTAAATAAAAATGCAAGAATGTAAATGTAAAAAGAAATGTGATTTTTGTTTGATTTTCATGAAAAGGTTTTTTGACCTAGTTTAACTAAAATAAAATAAACTAAAAATAAGAAAATTAAGATTAAGTTAGTAAAATAAATTAATTTAAAGAGAACAAAATTTTTAGGATTTTTTATGAATTTGATTAAATAAAATTAATTAAATAAAAGTCCTAAGTTCTAAATTGATTTTAACTTATAAGAAAATAATATATAATAATTAAGACTAATTATCTAAGTATTTTAAAAAAGGGAAATTAATTTATTAAAGAAAATGTTTTTGTTCTTTTTAGTTTCATAAAACAAAATAAACTAAATAAATGTAAAAAATAATAAATAAAATATTTGTTGGGCTTTTATTAATGAAAATAATAATAATAATAATAATAATAATAATAATAATAATAATAATAATAATAATGATAATATTAATAATAATAATAAAGGAAAGAGAATAAAATAAAAATATAAAATTAAAGTCAAGGGGTTAAAAAAATGGAAATGGGGGTTAACAATAGTAAAAAGGGGCGCTAGGCCCAAATGTGTGTTTTTGTAATCAGCGAAAAATAAAAAAAATGCATGAATGGGCCTGCATTAGAAAGTAAAATGGGGGTGAGAGTCAGCAATTCAGACTGGGCCCAGAACAAAGTCCATCCTGTTTTGTGATTCAGTGTGGATGGATTTCTATGAGTGCACCATGAGCTTGCATCATGAAGCATTGGATTTGGATTGCTGAACATCCAATGGTGTTGATGTGAGGCTCATGATAGGCGCCTTGTACATGATTGCATTGGATCTGAAACAAATAAATGTGAAACAAATAAAAGGGTACCACTGAGGCTCGAACCCAGGTCCCTATAGTCACATGCGCGCGCTTCTACCACTGGGGTGGCTATACATTTGTTTATTAATACAAAACCAATAAACTCACAGGTAATACACCAGAATCCGTGCGGACGTACGAGTAACATATTAGTAACGTGTGAACGTACGGGTGACACATCAGTAACGTGTGAGCACATAGGTAGTAAGGTCAAAATCTGTGT